AGGGGGGGAGTGTTGGGGGGGCGTCAGGGGGTTGCCTCCCCCCCCCCCCCCCTGAGATGACCTGCCGTTTTCTAATACAACTGGTATTCTGCAAAAAGAAGAAAACGATGTGGTTTATTGGTGTTGAAGTAGAGCAAGAGACGAGTGCACCCCCTCCTAAAAAAAATCCTGGATCCGCCCCTGCTTATCCAGGGTTCATACAGCAAATTGCAATCATTTTTAAGGACTTTCCAAGGACCTCATTTGATTTTCGTGGACTACCTACCAGGAATGTACATCACAGATTTGTACATGTGGACACATTCCCTGAATGTCCAAGCTAACGCTCAAGTAGATTAAGGCCTGGGTCTAAGTCATGTATCGTTCTTATGCACACTTTCCAAAACCGTCGTTAAAGACATTCACGAGAAATTATAGATAGCAAAGTTAAGTGAACAAAAAAAAAATGGAAAAGAAATCCAAAATAATAGGACACGTGATCGACCACGCCCTCTATTGTTTAAAAATTGTACTTAACGATTCCCACGAATCAGCCTCAGACGAATTTTGCTTCATAATTCGTCTTAGCACCGAATTTATACTAGAGACGAATTGTCCGTCAGGACGGATAATTCGTCCGTAGTGGCAGGCGTAATTGGTGTTCATTGACTAGTGTCAGTCCTCCTCTAACTAAAATTTTAGTCACCAGAAAAACGTTCATTGACATCGTCTCATTCCGAATGTTTTTAGAAGAAGACTATTTCTAGCCACTGTTTAGACCTACAAATGGAAAACGGTTTGCTCTTTATGTTCTTAAAGTTTTCATCTTTAGTTTGGGGCTGGGAAGGAGGGGTTGAGGTTAAGAATACTTGAAAAAGCGTCTGCATAATAATTTGAGCAACTCATTTTCACAAGTATGGTTTTGCTCTTAGCCTCGTTTTGAAAGTGATAGTTTTCGGAACTCGGAAATGTACAGTACCGCAAATGGCACCCGATCGGAATTGATCCCCAAAATGGACCGTAAATGATCCTCGACCCTAAGTGATCACCATTGTCGACTGCAAATGATCCCGTGAAAAGTAGGGGAATGGAATGGATTTTAGGCATAGATACTGAATGGTGCTGAGAACTGGAACAACGCGTAAAACAATGAAATGAATTAAAAAGATATATATTTTACCATTCTGCTTTCTTGTTTCTCCTTTCTTTTTAGCATTAATGTTTCAGTCTTGCTGTGAAAATTTTAGACAGGAAGGTCGTCAAGCAGGAAACTCGTCTTTTACTTCAACCCCGAGGCATACGGAAATATGACCCCGCATGAATTTATCGCTCCATCACGTTTCCAGTAATTTTGAAATATAGCAACTACTAACAGCTTGTGAAAATGTCACGCGATCAAGCAAAGTAGCTAAATTAAAACAAACGGAAATGCTAAATTTAACAAATTGAACTTCTTGTGATAGAGCTGGTTTCATCTCTCATCTGAGCCTGAATTCAAATAAATTAAAACTGGGAATCAGTGAATTCAGGATGAAAAGTTTTTTAGCATTTCCCAAGTCCTCTTAATACTCTTAAAAGAGCTTTTTTAATATAAAACAATTTTTCTTTTAATAGATGAGGACGTGTAAATTTAATATTTCAGTATTAACCTTGAATAAAACAAAAAAAGCCGTAAGTCTCAAGCTTTCATTTTGAGCCCCCTTCCTTTCGTGGATAATCTTTTTGTACGTTACCACGTAAGAGATAAATGTTTCTTGATGCACTGTTCAAGTTTCTGCATACTATTTTGACATGGTCGGTTTACTAATAACTGTGAGGCAATTAAAACGTTGGGAGACTAATTACAGCTCAGTAAATTTTACTTATTGAAAACAGAGTTTGGATGCATCCGTCAATAAAGGGGTTTTCAAAAAGTCAAAGACTGCAAGCGCCAATTACCCAATAAGAACATTCAAATAACCAGTTAAAAGCTGCAAAGTCACCGCGTCTTTTTGTGAAGGAAACGCGACGAGCAACAACAAAAGCTATAAAAAGAAATCGAAGATGCCAAACTACTCCTTTTTCAATAAGAACGAATCAAACTCCGACAACACGGGAGAAATGGACAACATTTCTAACTTTGAACTATTGTTGTCATAAATTGTATCCTCAATGTTCCACTGATGCTAACATCCATCACTGGTAATGCTTTGGTGTTGGCCGCCATATTGAGAACTCCTTCGCTTCGTTCAGTACCGTCTATTATCTTCCTATGTAGTCTCGCTAGTACAGATTTTCTTGTTGGACTTCTGGGTCAACCTTTTTACATTGCCAGTGAACTATACCACTCAACTGATGGGCCTCTTTCCAAAGTCGAAGTATTGATATCTGCTTCACTTTGTGGTGTTTCACTAGCAACAATAACAGCCATAAGCGTAGATCGACTTCTAGCTCGTCACTATCACATGACTTATCCGAATTTAATGACAACAAAACGTGCAATGTATGCCTCAGCAAGTCTCTGGTTTCTATCCGTACTTTTAGCATGCCTTAGAGTAGCTTGGGGATCAGAGGTTATTCTTATTTTTGAAGGAGTGTGTATTACAATTTGTTTTGTCCTTTCGTCCGCTTCTTACATCAAAATTTATTTCATTGTTCGTCACCATCAGATCCAGATTCACGCTCATCAACAAGCTGTAAACAGTTTTAATATTAGTGTAAATATTCCAGATAGTAATAACATGATAATATCAAAGAAACGTGCTTTAAAGACTTTTATATATTTCATCTGCATGATATTTTGTTACTTACCTTATCTATCTTTTTCATTGCTACATGCCACCTCAGTTATAGGCTATGAGAAAAATTGGTTCTTTGCAGAGACTTTTGTGTTCCTGAACTCGTCCGTAAATCCATTTTTGTACTGTTGGTGTAATCGTGAAATCCGAACGTCAACTGTAAAGGTAGTCCGAAAAATGATGTGTAAACAAACGGAAGAAGCCAGCGAGCTTGAAGTTTAAACTTGTATTTGTATAGAAACCTTCACCGCGGTATGCAAACTTCCTCAAACTTTGCCTTATAAGGAATGGGCTCGCTCAGTTAAATTATAAGAACAAAATATTAAGTAAACAGAAATATACATGCAAAAATCAATGGCAGAGCTAGAGTAAATCTTAAAATATATCCTAGATAATCGTATTAATCATGGTTAGGCTAAAAAACTGAGAGGAACTTTTTTATATATTAATCCTGTATTGTGGTAAATAAAAAAGCTCCTAACTTCTTGTGCCATACGAATGCACCTGGCATGTCACTAAAAACGTATCATTGAAGCTATCAGGAAGTTATCCGTATTTGTATTGATACATAAATTTTCCTATTTGAAGTTTGTAGATACACTCAGGATTCAGAATTCCTCAATTTTTAAATAAAGGGTCAGTGTGAGTATGGAAAGCACTCCTCGACATTATTCTTTCAACCCTTTTTTGACGTGTAATTAATCTTTAGTTATGGGGGTGGGATGAAACGGTTCGAAGTTAAGAATGTTTAGTCTCCAGCTCAGCGCCAGGTGAAGATCCATTTTATAAATATATAAAAATATTTATTTTAAAAACCCCTAATTACTATTCATCATAACTCAAACAACTGCGCGCTTTACTACTTATTTTTTAAAAAAATAGAGAAAGGCACAAATTATTACCAGAAAAATTACCCGGTCTATGTGTATATTTATTTAGTGCTATTATGAAAAAACAACTGAACCAATAAACGTCTGTCACCTGCCATATTAGCTAAGCATGAGATCAAAGGCAAATGTTGAATAACCATAAATTGGTAAAGATTTTCAGTGTTCCAACAACTTCCGCTCAAACTAGTGACACTTTTTAATTCTCTAACACTATTTTGAGCATTCCGGAGCGTATTTTAGCATATCATTTTTGTTATGTTCCTTTTTCAACTGCTAAAAGTGAAAACAATCATTACTGTCTCCTTTCCATACATCTCCCTCGAAATTTTTAAGTTCGCTAAGGTAATGGAGCGGAGAATTCTAAACTTTAATTGTTGAATTGTGTCTCAGTGACAAATCATAATTTCAGCCTTCCTTGTAGTTACACAATATTATTAATCCTTTTCCACAAGAACATAGACCGTCTTAGCATCATCATAGTGCGGGGTAATGGTAGAGAGTCCGAATTTTAACAATAAAATTTATCTATTTACCATTAGAGGGAGGGAGAAGGACCCTGAAATCTTTGTCTTGGTAGACCTGATGAATCGAACACATGTCTGATCTAAATGAAGATACGTTTAACAATGCAATGTTTAAGTGGTTTTGAACTATATTCTGGTTGGGTGCCCCTGTCTAAATACTATTTTGACATTGTCGGTAATAACAATGAAAACGTTTTGAGACTAATTACAGATTATCTTAATTTTGCATATGAACAACATCATAAAGAGTTCGGATGAATCCATTTATAAAGGCTTTTAAAGAGCTGAAACGGGTATCACAACGAGAACGAGTCACAAATGAAAGCTGTCAGTCACAGCGTCTTTTTGTGAAGGAAACGCCGGACGTGCATCAACAAATGATCCACTAAGTATTAAGGATTTTTAAAGAGTTCGGAAACAGGTGCCAGTTGCGCATTTAGATCTAGTTACAAAGAAAACCTGTCACTCACCGCTTGTTTTTCAAGGGAAACGCCGGACGCGCATCAACAAAAGCTGAGAAATAATCGAAGATGCTAAACTAACTACCCTTTTATCTATAAGAACGAATTAAAACCGGACAACATTGGAAATATGAACAACCGTTCTAACTTTGAAACTATTGTTGTCATAAATTGTATTCTGAATGCTCCACTGATGCTAACATCCATCACTGGTAATGCTTTGGTATTGGCCACTATATTGAGAACTCCTTCGCTTCGTTCAGTACCGTTCAGTACCTATTAGCACGTCTTCAAGACGTGCTAACAGACAAATCAGCCTCAGACAAATTTTGCTTCATAATTCGTCTTAGCACCGAATTTATACTAGAGACGAATTATCCGTCAGGACGGATAATTCGTCCGTAGTGGCTCCTCTAACTAAAATTTTAGTCACCAGAAAAACGTTCATTGACATCGTCTCATTCCGAACGTTTTTAGAAGAAGACTATTTCTAGCCACTGTTTAGACCTACAAATGGAAAACGGTTTGCTCTTTATGTTCTTAAAGTTTTCATCTTTAGTTTGGGGCTGGGAAGGAGGGGTTGAGGTTAAGAATACTTAAAAAAGGGTCCGCATAATAATTTGAGCAACTCATTTTCAGAAGTATGGTTTTGCTCTTAGCCTCGTTTTGAAAGTGAGAGTTTTCGGAACTCGGAAATGTACAGTACCGCAAATGATCCCCAAAATGGACCGTAAATGATCCTCGACCCCAAGTGATCACCATTGTCGACCGCAAATGATCCCGTGAAAAGTAGAGGAATGGAATGGATTTTAGGCATAGATAGTAAATGGTGCTGAGAACTGTAGCAACGCATAAAACAATGAAATGAATTAAAAAGATATATATTTTACCATTCTACTTCTGAAGGAAATTGTTTCTCCTTTCTTTTTAGCATTGATGTTTTAGTCTTACTGTGAAAATTTTAGACAGGAAGGTCGTCAAGCAGGAAACTAGTCTTTTACTTCAACCCCGAGGCATACGGAAATATGACCCCGCATGAATTTATCGCTCCATCACGTTTCCAGTAGTTTTGAAATAATAGCAACTACAGCTTGTGAAAATGTCACGCGACCAAGCAAAGTAGCTAAATGAAAACAAATGGAAATGCTAAATTTAACAAATTGAACGTCTTGTGATAGAGCTGGTTTCATCTCTCATCTCAGCCTGAATTCAAATAAATTAAAACCGGGAATCAGTGAATTCAGAATGAAAAGTTTTTTAGCATTTCCCAAGTCTACTTAATACTCTTAAAAAGAGCTTTCTTAAAAGATAACAGTTTTTATTTTAATAGATGAGGACGTTTGAATTTAATATTTCAATATTTAATCTTGAATAATACAAAAAAAAGGCGTAAGTTTCAAGCTTTCATTTTGAGCCCCCTTCCTTTCGTGGATAGTCTTTTTGATGTTGCCAGCTAAGAGATCGATGTTTCTTGATGCACTGTGTAAGTTTCTGCATACTATTTTGACATGGTCGGTATACTAATAACTGTGAGGCAATTAAAACGTTGGGAGACTAATTACAGCTCAGTAAGTTTTACTTATTGAAAACAGAGTTTGGATGAATCCATCAATAAAGGGTTTTCAAAGAGTCAAAGACTGCAAGCGCCAATTACCCAATAAGAACATTCAAATAACACCTGCCATATTAGCTAAGCATGAGATCAAAGGCAAATGTTGAATAACCATAAATTGGTAAAGATTTTCAGTGTTCCAACAACTTCCGCTCAAACTAGTGACACTTTTTAATTCTCTAACACTATTTTGAGCATTCCGGAGCGTATTTTAGCATATCATTTTTGTTATGTTCCTTTTTCAACTGCTAAAAGTGAAAACAATCATTACTGTCTCCTTTCCATACATCTCCCTCGAAATTTTTAAGTTCGCTAAGGTAATGGAGCGGAGAATTCTAAACTTTAATTGTTGAATTGTGTCTCAGTGACAAATCATAATTTCAGCCTTCCTTGTAGTTACACAATATTATTAATCCTTTTCCACAAGAACATAGACCGTCTTAGCATCATCATAGTGCGGGGTAATGGTAGAGAGTCCGAATTTTAACAATAAAATTTATCTATTTACCATTAGAGGGAGGGAGAAGGACCCTGAAATCTTTGTCTTGGTAGACCTGATGAATCGAACACATGTCTGATCTAAATGAAGATACGTTTAACAATGCAATGTTTAAGTGGTTTTGAACTATATTCTGGTTGGGTGCCCCTGTCTAAATACTATTTTGACATTGTCGGTAATAACAATGAAAACGTTTTGAGACTAATTACAGATTATCTTAATTTTGCATATGAACAACATCATAAAGAGTTCGGATGAATCCATTTATAAAGGCTTTTAAAGAGCTGAAACGGGTATCACAACGAGAACGAGTCACAAATGAAAGCTGTCAGTCACAGCGTCTTTTTGTGAAGGAAACGCCGGACGTGCATCAACAAATGATCCACTAAGTATTAAGGATTTTTAAAGAGTTCGGAAACAGGTGCCAGTTGCGCATTTAGATCTAGTTACAAAGAAAACCTGTCACTCACCGCTTGTTTTTCAAGGGAAACGCCGGACGCGCATCAACAAAAGCTGAGAAATAATCGAAGATGCTAAACTAACTACCCTTTTATCTATAAGAACGAATTAAAACCGGACAACATTGGAAATATGAACAACCGTTCTAACTTTGAAACTATTGTTGTCATAAATTGTATTCTGAATGCTCCACTGATGCTAACATCCATCACTGGTAATGCTTTGGTATTGGCCACTATATTGAGAACTCCTTCGCTTCGTTCAGTACCGTTCAGTACCTATTAGCACGTCTTCAAGACGTGCTAACAGACAAATCAGCCTCAGACAAATTTTGCTTCATAATTCGTCTTAGCACCGAATTTATACTAGAGACGAATTATCCGTCAGGACGGATAATTCGTCCGTAGTGGCTCCTCTAACTAAAATTTTAGTCACCAGAAAAACGTTCATTGACATCGTCTCATTCCGAACGTTTTTAGAAGAAGACTATTTCTAGCCACTGTTTAGACCTACAAATGGAAAACGGTTTGCTCTTTATGTTCTTAAAGTTTTCATCTTTAGTTTGGGGCTGGGAAGGAGGGGTTGAGGTTAAGAATACTTAAAAAAGGGTCCGCATAATAATTTGAGCAACTCATTTTCAGAAGTATGGTTTTGCTCTTAGCCTCGTTTTGAAAGTGAGAGTTTTCGGAACTCGGAAATGTACAGTACCGCAAATGATCCCCAAAATGGACCGTAAATGATCCTCGACCCCAAGTGATCACCATTGTCGACCGCAAATGATCCCGTGAAAAGTAGAGGAATGGAATGGATTTTAGGCATAGATAGTAAATGGTGCTGAGAACTGTAGCAACGCATAAAACAATGAAATGAATTAAAAAGATATATATTTTACCATTCTACTTCTGAAGGAAATTGTTTCTCCTTTCTTTTTAGCATTGATGTTTTAGTCTTACTGTGAAAATTTTAGACAGGAAGGTCGTCAAGCAGGAAACTAGTCTTTTACTTCAACCCCGAGGCATACGGAAATATGACCCCGCATGAATTTATCGCTCCATCACGTTTCCAGTAGTTTTGAAATAATAGCAACTACAGCTTGTGAAAATGTCACGCGACCAAGCAAAGTAGCTAAATGAAAACAAATGGAAATGCTAAATTTAACAAATTGAACGTCTTGTGATAGAGCTGGTTTCATCTCTCATCTCAGCCTGAATTCAAATAAATTAAAACCGGGAATCAGTGAATTCAGAATGAAAAGTTTTTTAGCATTTCCCAAGTCTACTTAATACTCTTAAAAAGAGCTTTCTTAAAAGATAACAGTTTTTATTTTAATAGATGAGGACGTTTGAATTTAATATTTCAATATTTAATCTTGAATAATACAAAAAAAAGGCGTAAGTTTCAAGCTTTCATTTTGAGCCCCCTTCCTTTCGTGGATAGTCTTTTTGATGTTGCCAGCTAAGAGATCGATGTTTCTTGATGCACTGTGTAAGTTTCTGCATACTATTTTGACATGGTCGGTATACTAATAACTGTGAGGCAATTAAAACGTTGGGAGACTAATTACAGCTCAGTAAGTTTTACTTATTGAAAACAGAGTTTGGATGAATCCATCAATAAAGGGTTTTCAAAGAGTCAAAGACTGCAAGCGCCAATTACCCAATAAGAACATTCAAATAACCAGTTAAAAGCTGCAAAGTCACCGCGTCTTTTTGTTAAGGAAACGCGACGAGCAACAAAAAAAGCTATAAAAAGAAATCGAAGATGTCAAACTACTCCTTCTTCAGTAAGAACGAATCAAACTCCGACAACATGGGAAAAATGGACAACATTTCTAACTTTGAAACTATTGTTGTCATAAATTGTATCCTCAATGTTCCACTGATGCTCACATCCATCACTGGTAATGCTTTGGTGTTGGCCGCCATATTGAGAACTTCTTCGCTTCGTTCAGTACCGTCTATTATCCTCCTATGCAGTCTCGCTAGTACAGATCTTCTTCTTGGACTTGTGGGTCAACCTTTTTACATTGCCAGTGAACTATACCACTCAACTGATGGGCCTCTTTCCAAAGTCGTATATTTGATATCTGTTTCACTTTGTGGTGTTTCACTAGCAACAATGACAGCCATAAGCGTAGATCGACTTCTAGCCCTTCACTATCACATGACGTATCCGAATTTAATGACAACAAAACGTGCAATGTATGCCTCAGCAAGTCTCTGGTTTCCATCCGTACTTTTAGCATGCCTTAGAGTAGCTTGGGGAACAGAAGTTATTTTTATTTTTGAAGGAGTGTTTATTACAATTTGTTTTGTCCTTTCGTCCGCTTCTTACATCAAAATTTATTTCATTGTTCGTCATCATCAGATCCAGATTCACGTTCATCAACAAGCTGTGAACAGTTTTAATATTAGTTTAAATATTCCAGATAGTAGTAACATGATAATATCAAAGAAACGTGCTTTAAAGACTTTTATATATTTCATCTCCATGATATGATGTTACTTACCTTATCTATCTTATTCATTGCTACGAAACACGTCAGTTATAGGCTATGAGGAAAAATGGACCTTTACAGAGACTGTTGTGTTCCTGAACTCGTCCGTAAATCCATTTTTGTACTGTTGGTGTAATCGTGAAATCCGAACGTCAGCTGTAAAGGTAGTCCGAAAAATGATGTGTAAACAAACGGAAGTAGCTTCTAGCGAGCTTGAAGGTTAAACTTGTATTTGTAAAGAGACCTTCACCGCGCTATGCAAACTTCCTTAAACTTTGCCTAAACTTTGCCTTATAAGTAATGGGCTCGCTCAGTTAAATTATAAGAACAAAATATTAACAGAAATATACATGCAAAAATTAATGGCAGAGCTAGAGTAAATCTTAAAATATATCCTAGATTATCGTATTAATCATGGTTAGGCTACAAAACTGAGAAAAAACTGAGAGGAACTTATTTATATATTAGTCCTGTATTGTGGTAAATAAAAAAAGCTCCTAACTTCTTGTGCCATACGAATGCACCTGGCGTGTCACTAAAAACATATCATTGAAGCTATCAAGAAGTTATCCGTATTTGTATTGATACATAAATTTTCCTACTTGAAGTTTGTAGATACTCTCAGGATTCAGAATTCCTCAATTTTTAAATAAAGGGTCAGTGTGAGTATGGAAAGCACTCCTCGACATTATTCTTACAACCCCTTTTTTTACGTGTAATTAATCTTTAGTTATGGGGGGTGGGATGAAACGGATCGAAGTTCAGAACGCTTAGTCTCCAGCTCAGCGCCAGGTGAAGATCCATTTTATAAATATATAAAAATATTTATTTTAAAAACCCCTAATTACTATTCATCATAACTCAAACAACTGCGCGCTTTACTACTTATTTTTTTAAAAAATAGAGAAAGGCACAAATTATTACCAGAAAAATTATCCGGTCTGTGTGTATATTTATTTAGTGCTATTATGAAAAAACAACTGAACCAATAAACGTCTATCGCCTGCCATATTAGCTAAGCATGAGATCAAAGGCAAATGTTGAATAACCATAAATTGGTAAAGATTTTTAGTCTCCCAACAACTTCCGCTCAAACTAGTGACACTTTTTAATTCTCTAACACTATTTTGAGCTTTCCGGAGCGTATTTTAGCATATCATTTTTGTTCTGTTCCTTTTTCAACTGCTAAAATTGAAAACAATCATTACTGTCTTCTTTTCCAAACATCTCCCTCAAAATTTTTCAGTTCGCTAAGGTAATGGAGCGGAGAATTCTAAACTTTAATTGTTGAATTGTGTCTGACAAATCATAATTTCAGCCTTCCTTGTAGTTACACAATATTATTGATCCTTTTCCACAAGAACATAGACCGTCTTAGCATCATCATAGTGCGGGGTAATGGTCGAGAGTCCGAATTTTAACAACAAAGTTTATCTATTTACCATTAAAAGGAGGGAGAAGGACCCTGAAATCTTTGTCTTGGTAGACCTGATGAATCGGACACATGTCTGTTCTAAATAATTATAACTTGAATTCGTATTCAAATACTCCCTAGACGAAAGAAAAGTTATTAACACCCAATAAGTCGTGCTCGTTGGTAAATTTGTAGCGCTTTCAGTCGCTGATTTTGTCGTCTAGTCTCTTTCTGTTAGTAAGACGTATCCGTAAAAAGTATGAGTTTTCCAGTAATGTTTAGTATTATTAGCGAGTTCTATTTAGGTCTAAATCGGATAAGAAACGTTTCTGTTGAAACGATCGAGCCAATTTCACCTGCAATTCAGTTAGAAACAAGTCGAAAGGTTAAAGCACTCGTGCGCCTAGCCTGCGTAACTGTCGGGGTTAGTGCTGCTGTTTTAGGGCGTAGGGTTATAGAACTGCGTGAAAGATGTGCCTTATCATTCTGCTTGTCATGCAGACCCTTGTAAGGCAAAAATTACTGAGAAACTAGTTCTAAGCTTACTAAAACCTTCTTGTTTCACCATTCAACGCTCCTCTTCTTCTTTCTATCAAATTAATAAGTGCCATAGTAAATTAATTCTTACATTTTGGTACACTGCAAAATTCCCTTGACGTGCAAACATTTTACTGGTTTACCGTGCATGGCTTCAACATTTGTTTTCGCTTTATTTCTCGCAGACTCGCGCGTGGGAGCCGTAATTGAAATACACCAATCAGATGTGATAGTAATCGTGCCGACTGTTTCAGATCTTTCGAAAGAGAAATAAATGGTTTAAACTGAGTAGTAACTGACTTTCGCAGCGTTAAGATGTGGGTTCTGAATTTGCTCTTTTAACAAAAATTTTTGAAAACGAGAAGTAGGAATTATAAAAATTAAACATCCAATTAATGTAAAACAGGAAGTTGTCGCTGCTGTCATTTTTACCCCAGGGGTAATTCAAGTAGTCTGCATCGCACTGGCGTAATCTTTCCCTGGCTAGTAACGTCTGCGAAGCGGCGCCGAGATCCTTGTTGTGGGTACCTAACGGACTCAACAAAATACCGGAAGCGCATTTCGAATTTTCCTTCACTCTGATTGGCAAATCGGTAATAACTTTTTTAACAGGCCAATCATCAGTTTTACGCACTCAAAACCTGCTACACAGATTTGGTCCCAGAACAAGGCTTTCGGCGCTGGCTCGAAGACGGTCCTAACCAGAGCTGGTTTTAGTTTCGTTTTTTCGTTTGCAGGCCAGTGCTTCATGAATGGGACGTTTTTCAAAATGCCTTTATTGGATTATTTGGGATTACCAGTTCACGCATCATCAATAGGGACCTTAAGATACGAGGACGGGACAAGCTACGACGGCTACCGGAAGTAAATTTGCACAAAAAAGATATCGCATCGCTGTTCAAGGAATTTTCAGTGTTAACAGACTGGTTGTTTGCCTTCGCTTTTTGTGAAAAATAAACCAGGAAAACTGGTGTCCTCGCTCGTTGGCTGTTTGCTTTTGTTTTTAAAGATTTATGTACTGAAAATCGGGGGAAATTGCCGAGGAAAATATTAAGGCAACGGAAAAATAGAAATTTCAGTATTTTAAATTCGAGCGCGCCTAGCCAAAATAATAAAACTAGTAGAACATCGTGTCGCCGTCTTTTCGGAAACTTTTTACCTTCTACGCCAGCAGAAATAACCTTCGAGATCTCCCTTAATCTCGCAAGAAGTTAAATGTGATTGTGCTGACTGTTTTATTTTTAGCTGATAAAATTAACAGACAAAAGCTAATTTTTAAGTTAGCCAGTCTGCATTTTTCCCACGCGTGGAAATTTGCATACCAGAAAAACAAGCAACGGAAGTAATTTTGGTTGGCTGATTCGGCAAATGTCAATCAATCAAAAAAGTGGGCGGCAGACGTTGCGTAGAAGGTTTGTATCAGGCTCTCTTTTCGTTCCGTAATGCCTGCCGGAATGTTATTTACAAAGCGAAACGAAAATAGAGTCTGATCTCAGGTTAAGACCTTCACGGCTAGATTTGATGGCGTTTTGCCCAGAACACCCTAAGTGAGACCAAAATCCGAAATTTACACCCCTAAACGAGACGACGAGCGTCCCCAACCCTTTCATATGCGGAGTCCCTCCCCCCCCGCCCCCGGGAAGCCACTGAACTGAAAACGGTTAGCTTTTAAATATTATATGGGATACGGCATGACTACATGTATATTTTAAAAGTTACTGTATTTGGTAGTTAGTCCTCGATGGTGTAGTGGACGTAGATGTAGAATATAAAGCAAACGACTCGGGTTAAAAGCATTTCAATGGTGTTTTTCTATCTTACTTTATATTACACAGTAAAGTTTGTCTCAAGTTGTTATTCAAGTAATTTTACTGAAAGAAACAGTCTGGTTTCAGCCGATGTTACCTAATACTAACCGGGCAAAAATTGGCTGATAGAGAGTTGCTTATTACAAAATCGATAAGCGTCTGAAACTAATAGACACCTTTTTTTCTTTCTACTGAGTGGATCAAGGAACAGTAGCGATACATTAACTGAAACAAATGGAACAGTTATATTAAACTGATTGGACTTCTTGTGAAAGAGCTTCTTTCATCTCGGGCTGAATTCGAATAAATTAAAACTGAACAAATTCAGACTGAAAACACAGCAGTCTACTATGTTGGAAATTAAGTCTCGTTGGTGGATAGGTAAGGATAGTTTAGGGATAGGTATGGATAGTTTAGGGATAGTCTATGACGTCACCTATTGTTATAACCTAGGGAAAATTCCCTTCCTCCATACTAATTAAGTGCCTTCCTGCACACTAATTCGGCATAAATTTACTAATAAGAGTCTTCCTTGTACAATAGGCTTGCCTAGACTTGCCCGGTAAGTAACTTGAGCTCGGTTTTCAGACCTTCTATTAAAAGAGAAATAGGAATAAGAGAAGCGATCACCTAGCAACGCGAGAAACGGCTTCCTATATCTTATTTAGAGCTTAAACTCAGATATATAAACAAAACACATACACAACGTGGAGTTGAAGAGTCTTTATTTCAATTTAGTTTATGTCTTCTTATTTAGCTCTAAAACTCAGATATATATAAATAAAACACATATACACAAAGTGGAGCTGAAAACTCTCTATTTCAATTTTGTCTGACGTTTTCTCCGTTCTATCTCGAGGACACTA